AAAGAGTAAGACAGGGGAGGCGTGTGGGGTGCGGGGCCAGAGGACGGGGCCCTGGTCGTCAGACCACTGTGCTGAGGGTGGAGGAGTCCTCCGAGCGCGCAGGCAGCGCGGGAGCCGGCTTGAGGGGGCGCCGGGTCTCATCCCGATTCTGCCACACATAGTGGACCAAATAAGCCACCACCAGTGCCAGCCAGCCCCCCATGGTGACCAGGAGGGCCACATCAGTGCTCCGCTGGGCCCCGCCCCGCCCCGTCCCACACAGCTCTTCCTGTCCTGCCAGTGTCAGGAACTCCTGCCCCACGAGGTCTGGTCGGGCTCCCGGGCCACACACGATGCCTGTTCCAGTGCCTGGTGCCAGCCTCACCCGGCTCAGCACCTCCTGGAGAGCACAGTCGCAGCGCCATGGGTTGGCAGACAGGTTCACTTGGATCTGCAGCCCCAAGAAGGCCTCTACCGGCAAGGAGGCCAGCTGGTTGGCAGAGAGGTCAAGGTGGCGCAGCGTATCCGCGAGGCCCTGGAAAGCAGCCCCTGAGAGGTGGGCTAGGACATTATGGGATAGATCCAGCTCCTCCAGAACAGGCAGGTGCTGGAAGGCACCAGCTGGCACTGATGCCAGCTGGTTGGCATCCAGGTAGAGCTTTCGGGTGTCGTTGGGGATTCCAGTGGGCACAGCACTCAGGCCTGCCTGACTGCAGCGGAAGGTCCTCTCACCGGCTTCCTCCGCCATGTAGCAGCCCTGGGGAGGGACCTGGGGGCTGGGCATGATACCCCCTGTGCCCATCACCAGCAGGAGGGACAGGAGGTGACCAACTGACGGGAGCATGGCCACAGATTGGCATAGTCCTGGAGCAGAGTAGGATCTGGGGAAGAAAAAGCCCCATAAAGAAAGGAAGAATGAGTCAAGAGAATTCCTTTCCCCACTGCCAGCTCTCGCTTTCTGAGAAGCCCCTGTGAAGTCCCTTTGGGGTGGAGCCCCTCCTTTGGGTGCTTTCCCAGGCTTGAGTGACTTTTTTTGCTTCCTCTTTAGGGTCTAGGGATCCTCATTTGGGTCCTTTGGGTAAAAGATCACCTGGCCCTGAGACTCTTCTAGAGTCTCTTTGATTCTGGAGCTAATCTGTGAAGTTTCTTGGTCCAAAGCCCTATTGTTCATTCTGAGTCTAGGGGCTTCTAAGTTTCTGCTTCCACCCATGTATTGATTTCCCTCATTGGAATAAATTCTTTTTCCACCAGCCTACCTGGGTGGCTGCCAGGTGGGTCAGGTAGGCACCAGAGGGCCTGTTGGCACTAGTGTGAAGGAGACAAAGAGGACAAATCAGCGATAGGACTTCAGGGCATCCAGCTAGGCTAACTGACTAAGGCCCCACTGCTGTGCCAGCCATCCGTTTTCCCGGAGAATCCGTCCCTCTGCCTGCCCCAGCCTGGTCTTCTTCACTCACTGCTTCCTCCCTTATCCTCTCCTTCCTCCTCCCAGCCTCTCACCCCTGTTGGTGGAGAGCCTTCTCCTGGGCTGCCCTCTTCCCAGAAGTAGCCTCCCTGCTGCTCCGCTCTGGAGACCGGCTCTGTCCTCCAGAGAAGTCCTGCTTGCTTGTAGCTGCTGGAAGTTGGGGGCTGCAGCCTAAGAGTGTTGGGTTTCCTCGCATGTGACTCTGGGCCCCAGGTGTCAGATACCTGAGCCATGGCCTGGCCAGATGATAGAAGAGAGAGGGCAGATCCTGGACTCTGATGAACTCTGCCTGGGGAGACCAGGCCCCAATTCTATTTCCTGCCTCAGGCTCCCCTCCCGAGGCTTTGCTGTTGCCATCTCCCATTCCTTCGCTCCCAGCTGGGGTGGAGACTCTTCCTCCCAGAACCTCTGTCCCTGGCCCAGAGCCTGGCTGAGCAGAAAGATCACTGCTTGGCAGGCCTGTGGGACAGAACTGGGTGGGCCCTATCTCACATCCATTGCCTCCAGCAACCCAGCTTCCTCTCCCCTGACTCCTCCGCCCATTCTCCTTCTCTGCCCTCTACCATGTCCTGTGGCATGTTTTTCTACGGTGAGCAAACTTGCCTCAGCCTTTTCCTTGAAAACTTGTCTCTTTCTGGAGAAGTTAATCTCCTGGCTCCTCATGGGGTGCCCAGCCCTCTTGCTTGGCAGGGAGCACTATCATTCAATTTTAGTTTGTTCTCTGCATTGTTGGTAGATGGCCCCTCTAGGAGCTGAAAGGGCTTCTTCAAGGTGCCTGAAGTCTGA